TCCGCTAGAAGTTTCTTGACCTCGTCATTTACCAAAAACTTGAAGCACTGATGGAGTGTAGAAGGAATGACACCATATGTGTAAAGCCATGGACGTCCTAATAAAACATTGTAAGATGTGTTAGCATCGATTACATTGAAAATGGTGTCAGAGTACAACTCACCTATCTCCATTTGTAATGTTATTGTTCCCATTGCTTTTTGTCTAACTTGATTGAAGCCTTGAATAGTTAGCATTGATTGTGTCAGTTGACAAACATTTATCCCTAAAGCTCGAAGTGTTCGAAGAGGGAGTAGGTTTACTGCTGATCCACAATCAAGCAATATTCGATTTATTGATGTATCTCCCACTAGTCCACTGACGTACAAGGGTCGATTGTGATACTCGTCTCCAAGTATAAGGTCATTTTCATCAAATGTGATACTTGCGAGGCAGCAAGCGCAATACTTTGGCAACGTTGTATCCACTTCTGTAAATTTGAAGCTTGTTTCAAATACTTCAGGATTTGTCAAAGCCATGATGAGTGCTTCTCTAAGCTCCTTTGACATTTTCAGAGCATCGTACACACTGAGAAAAGATGGGATGCGCTTAAGATGGTCGACGATGTCGTATTTGCCATCTTGGGACTGTAGTACATCTTTTGCATGTTTCTTAGAGGTACTTGCTTTTGTGGTTGAGACTGAAATTGCTACCGCAAGCTCTGTAGTGATAGTGACTGGAACCTCTTTTGCACTTGGTTTGTCGGAATGATTGACTGAATTAGCTGCTTCTTTACCTCCTTTCTTGTTCGCAGACGGGATCCTTTGGCCAGAGCGTAGAGTTATTTCATCTACCCCACTATCGTTATGGATTTCACATGAGGTCGCGCAACAGTTTCCGATTTCTTCCTCGCTTCCCTTACTTTTGAAAAGTTTTGGAGGGAGATAGTCTCCAAGGGTTATTGGTGCTTTGAAAGGCTGTTTGTAATCATCATCCTGAAAGAATCTAGGCCTTTTCTTTTTCTTTCCATCCTTTGAAGGTGGTTCACGCCATAATTTTCCTTTTGATCGCTTTGTGGAAGAAAGACATTTAGCAGTCTTTTTCACCTTCTTTTCACTGACGGTTTGCCATTCGTCTTCAGATTCAAGTGATGACTTCGACGAATCCTCCCAAACATCAAAACTTGGTGCCATCATGAGCTCGTACAGAGTTCGAATTTTTGGATTTCTGAAACAAGGTGTGTCAGGATAAGCATGGACCACTGTGGTTTCATTATCAACATGGAATCCTGCAGGGATTGACCCTTTTGGTAATGGAGTGGAGGGTGTTGATTTTCCTTCGATCATGTTGGATGTTACCGTCTGATGTTTCGAGGATGAATCCACCTCGATCTCATGCTTGTTGATCTTCTCTTGAATTATATCCTTAAGGATATAACAATCCTCTATCGTATGGCTGATGAGTCGATGATATCGAAAATACCTTGGATCATCAGTTTTATTTACTTCTGCGGGACACTTTGGTTCCATAAGCGTGATCATCTTTGCTGCAAGGAGTTTGTTGAAGATAGTTCCAACATCTTCATCATTGAAACTATATTTAACTTTTTTCCTTTCCTTAAGCGAAAGCCTCCTCGTCCCTTTGATTTCTTCTTTTCTTTTTGTATTGTCATTTTTCTTGTTTACTTTGACAAATGTCACCATAAAATCTCCCTTCTTCGGTGTTCTTTCGTTATCTCCTTTCTTGATGTCAGACTTATTTTTTATGTCTTGGATCATCTTTCCAATCACATTTTTCCGTGACATTTGCTTCTCCACATTCCTTGCCTTGGATACCAACTTGTCAAAAGTTCGAGGTTCCGCAATTCCTACAAATGTTGCAATGTCAAGGATGAGGTTGTTGTAACATATTTGCACTGCCAAAAATTCTGAAATCTTTTCCATGCATTGTAGGTTGAGACTCCTTCATCTTGTGATGAATTCGCTTGCGCTTTCTCCAAGCCTTTGTGTCGTTTGAGCGAAATCCATTAGTGTGACTTTTTTCTTTGAGCTGGCGAATTGAGCTAGAAAAGCTCTTTGCATATCATCCCATGTTAAAATAGATCTTGGCTCTAACTGAGTGTACCATGTGAAAGCAGACCCTTTGAGTGACTAAACAAATTGCCGAACTAATAAGGGATCTGACTGCAATGTTTCCCCACAAGCTGAGTAAAAATGAGCTAAGTGTTCTTGAGGAGAACCACTTAAACCATCAAATTTATCACAGCTTGGTTTTTGATATCCTTGAGGAAATAGCACTATGTCATAGTGAGTTAGATAAGGCTTCCGGTATCCGAGACTTGGTGTCATTAAAGACATTTGAAATTCACGAATCTTTTCAACGAAAATTGCATCAATATCTTGATGCGTGAGTTGGCCATCGAAACTTTCTCCTTCTATTTCTTTCCTTGCATCTTTAGTATTATTTATGCTAGCTTGAGCGGCTAACTGAGCTGCTAAAGTCGCAATTTTAGCTCCTTATTAGCTACCAAAGCTGCCATTTCTGCTAGTTTTCTTTGCATTTCTAGCAATTGTTCTTCTGTATTTGATACGCCAATCATTAGAACTTACATGTTCTCAGATTCGACGTCTTCATTTATCTCTAACCTTTGGAATTGAGTCATTACTTTAGGAAACTTTTCTTGGAAAAAGATTTGTTTCCTCCATAAGCGTCTCCAAGGGAAGATGAACTCTCGGGATAATGGACTGCCAATGCTCGGGCCCTTGCACGGGTGATAGGCCCTTCGAATTGAATGTTGTCACCTTCCTCGACAAGTTCGTAGGCCAGCTTTTTGTTGAACATTTCCAGACGCTTTTGGCAAGATTTCTTCATTTTCCTAGACAGAGGTCATCATGATCGACTCTGTTGTAGGTAGAGTGACCGGAATTGTTCCGATCATGATTTGAGTAATGACAAGAACCTTGATAGGTAGTGATGATGTCATGTTGATGATTTTACGTCGAGGCACCTTGGTGTCCTTAGATGAAACAACTCCAAGAAACTCCTATGAGACAATTTCGATGTCTTCGAGTAAACGATCCCTAGCGATCTTCTTCCTAAGAGCTCGTGCTGCTTTTTTCCTTGCATTCCTTAGAGCATTCTTGGATGGGCATTTCTTCGACCCAACTTTGATGACTTTGACAGCCACCTTGCATGTCTTTGTCTCTACCCTCATCTTCACCATGTTGTAGCTAGCTGGTGCTTGATCGATGGTGAAAGAGATTCGGTGACTAGCATGCCTTCCACATCCAAGTTTGGATTCTGTAGTAGGGAGTTCGTGGAAGTAAATAGTAACTTGTGGCGCCATGCTTCCTGTTACAAGGAACAAAAAACATAGCACATTAGTTATTTTCAAAATTAGAGATGAAAGGGAAAATGGGTCCCATCGAGCGTGCTAAAAATCATGTTGAGCAAAAATTGTACACAATATGTAAACAAATAATTCACTCGACACAATTTCATTTTTCGAAGAAGGTTTTATTAAATTGAGTTCGACCCATTCTAGACTACCCGCCTATTAATTACAACCTTTCTTTTGGGAAAGGAATACATTTTGATTCTAATATGAATAAATTGTAACTTGAGGATTTGGCTGTTTATTTGATTTTGTGACTGCATCTAGGTAGAGCCCTAGATTGCCTATGTACCCTCGTTGAGGGATCAAGTCACTCATAGTTCCTTATGTATTTGTTGGGGTTTGATGCCTTGTGCAGTTTCTGCTCATGCAAGCAAGGAGCATTTAATGCCTTGTGCAGTTTTAGCTCATGCGGGCGAGGACTTTGAACCATTGGAGCTAGATGTGGCTTCGTGCCATTTGAATCTTGTTGTGGCTTTGTGCCCTTTTGAATTTAGAGCAGGTTTGTGCCATTCATATCTTGTCGCAGCTTCATGCCATTTGATATTTGACTTTTCTTCGGCTTCGTGCCATTTAAGACTTGACATGGTTTTATGCCACTTGAAATTTGGAGCGCGGTTTTGTGCAGTTTTAGGATTGATATGCTTCGTGCCATTTGAATTTTGATGTAGTTTTGTGCCATTTAAGATTTTTCTTCGGTTTCATGCCTTTTGGGATTTGATACAGCTTCGTGCCATTTGTGTTTCGTAAATTTAATGGGAATATTTGTGATGAACCCATTATTACTTTGGTATTTGACTTTGTCTTGGTGCCATGCATCTCAGACTTCATGAATAAATTTAACTTTCTTTCCTTTTGAGTTTCAAACTCTCTCTTTACTTTTGGCTTGTAGCTTTTGTCTCCATGCTTTTGATTAAACTTTGAACCAACTTTTGACGGTGAGCTGCTCATTTGGAAGCCTCCATGTGCTAAGCTTTTTTATTTTAAAACAAGCTTTCTCTTTTGTCCATGAACTAATTCACATGCCCATGAATTAATTCAAAGTACAGCCTCCTGTTTGGATTTGTTCTCGTGAGATCAAATGCATACTTCCTTTAGTATTCTTTGTAGAATTTGTGATTACTTAGTCAAAGTAGGAGAAGTGAATTTAGTTTATATAAACCAGAGATTAGTCTTAATTTCACGGTTGCGTCAAAAATTTGATATCAGACTACCTACGTATCCTTAACGGAATCCAACCCACGTAGCTCGTATTGTATTTGATTTGGATTTGCCTACTTGTGTTCAGACTTGGCAAAATGAGTAGTCGATTGAATTTATTTAAAACCCATATATAACCTTTGGTAATAAGCTTTGTCAAAAAGGAGTTTGATTTTGTCTTTTCCTTAAGTAGTTTAGGATTTGAAGACATAACGTGAGACTCCTAGGCCCACGTGAGATGCACCATTTAAACTTTTCCTCAAGTGGCTGAAACTTGAAGACAAAGTGGGATTTCCACAAAGGATAAAGCCACCCCCTCTTTTTATATTTGTCTTCCCTTGAACTTTCAACTCCTTTAACATGGTTTTTTTTTTTTTTTACCCATTTGTTTCTTTCCAATCTGACAGCAAGTTTTACTATCTCCTTTTTTTATGTGGCTTTAAGGCTTCCAAGTCCAACAACTTCTCTTCTTTTCCACGTGAGGTGCAGCTTTATTCATCCCTCTTCCCCTTGCGAGATGGCTTCACAAATCCTCTTTTTCCTTGGTTCTAACTTCTAACACACAATGCTCTTCCACTAGAAGCAAAAGGCGGTTCCGCAATACTTGGGCTCCCGTGGATTACGTTATATTTCAAACTTCTATTTCAATTGGATATCCGTTGATTTCAGAGTGAGAATGGGTAAGGTTTGTTGGAGCTCAGATTCTTTGTTCAAATTACTTCAATTTACCACCATTTTCCCCTCAAATCGCAAATCCCCTTTTTACACAGGTCACAAAAACTTTCATCTTTTCTGTTGCATCGTTCTTTTGCTTGTGTGCTTCCTTTGTGGATCGAAGGCTCAAAACGAAGAGGGGGAGAAATCCAGCAGGTTACCCATTTTCGTTTTCATTACGTTCCGGGTTTGCTTATGTATTTGGAGTGGAATGAAACTCTAACAACAATGAACCCATCCATTCTTTCATGCAGGAGTTTCTGGCAACAATATCTCTTCGATTTGTTGAACAAACTATTTTGCAGTACTTTGAAGACAAGTGTTGATTCATGGCTCCAAAGGTGAGAATCGCCCCCCCCCCCCCCCCCCTGAATTTTGTAGTGACACACACCTCATGTCTGCCATACTTGAATGAGTCTTTGGGTGTTTAATGTAAAGGTTGCCATGTGTGTAAGCCTCTCAACTACTTTGGGAATTTTGATAGCAAATTTTTCCTTCTCTCTGAATTAGGGACACCTTGAACTCTTTTAAATCCAACTTCACTTGGCAGAGAAGCAAATATCTTTTGGCTATATAGAGATTGGCAAATTTTCTTTCTTTCCTTTTGTCTTGTAGCCCTGTGTTGCAGTTTCTTCCCCCTTTCATAGGAAGAAATTCTTATTTTATTTCTTATTTATTTATTTATGGATGTTTATTTTTATGTAAGGCCCATCCTTATCTTTTGGGCTGGATTACATTTTGTCTTGCCTTGTAGTTTGGCCTAATTTGTATGGACTCTAATTTTCATTTGTTATATATTTTTGTTGATCAACACAGATTATGCGTTAGGGGTTGTTTTGGGACAAAGGAAGGACAAGCAGCCACATGTCATCTATTATGCATCTCGGACCTTGAATGACGCTCAATTGAACTACTCCACCACTGAAAAGAACACCTTGCTGTTGTGTTTGCTTTAGATAAGTTTCGTTCTTATTTACTTGGAACTAAAGTCATCATTTATTCTGATTATCCAGCTTTGAAATACTTACTCCACGAAGAAAGAGGCCAAACCAAGGCTTATTCGCTGGATGCTCCTTCTCCAAGAGTTTGATATCGAAATCCGGGACAAGAAAGGAAGTGAGAACCTGATGGCTGACCACTTGAGCCGTTTGGTACACGATGAAGAGCCATTACCCATCCTAGAAGCATTCCCAGACGAGCAGCTGTTGTCCATTGAGGTAAGTGTGCCATGGCATGCCGATTTAATGAATTATTTGGTGTCTAAACAAGTTCCAAGCACCCTAAACAAGCACCAATGTGACAAACTTAAAAAGGATGCACATTTTTATGTGTGGGATGACCCGTACTTGTGGAAATATTGCCTTGATCAGATTCTTTATAGGTGTGTGCATGAATATGAGTTTAATTCAATTTTAACTTTCTGTCATACTTATGCATGTGGGGGTCATTTTGGCACTCAAAGAACAACACTTAACGTTCTAGAATGTGGATTTTATTGGCCTACTATATTTAAGGATGCTAGAACTTTTTGCATAACCTGTGATCATTCTCAAAGAACAGGGAATATAGATCTAAGAGACCAAATGCTGCAGGCCCCAATCTATTATGTCGAAAATTTTGATGTTTAGGGTATTGATTTCATGGGTCATTTTCCTTCATCTCATGGTTTCAATTATATTTTACTTGCGGTTGATTATGTCTCGAAATGGGTGGAAGCAAAAGCCACCCGTATTAATGATTCCAAAGTGGTTGCAGATTTTGTCAAAATTAACATTTTTGCCAGATTTGGAATGCCAAGAGTACTTATAAGTGATGGGGGTTCCCATTTTTGCAATCGAACCATCAAGGCACAGCTTAAGAAGTATAACGTCACGCATAAGTTTTGAACACATTATGATCCTCAAACAAGTGGGCAAGTCGAGGTTTCTAATCAAGAAATCAAGCAAATTTTGGAGAAGCCAGTTGGGCTAACTCGGAAAGATTGGAACTTGCGTTTGAATGATGCATTATGGGCATATCCTATAACCTACAAAACACCAATTGGGATGTCTCCATTTCAGCTCATCTATGGGAAACCGTGCCATATTCTTGTTAAGTTGGAGCACAGAGTGCATTGGGCAGTCAAGACATTCAACAGGACATAGATACAGCTGGCATTCATAGAAAGCTTCAATTGAATGAGCTTGAGGAGATTAGGAATGAGGCTTATGAGAACGCTCATATTTACAAGGAGAAAACGAAGGCATTCCATGACAAGATGATTCGTAGTAAGACGTTCTTTGTAGGGCAGAAAGTGTTGCTTTTCAACTCTCGCCTTCGATTGTTTCCAGGTAAGTTACATTCTAAATAGGTTGGTCCTTTTGTTGTTACTAATGTCTTTCCTTATGGTGCATTCCAAATTCAAAGTTTAAAGACAGGACATGAATTCAAAGTGAATGGACACCGTTTGAAGCCTTACTATGAGTATTTTGAGGAGCATGTTGTGGAGGATGTACCCCTCCATGCCGTTGGCCCTAGTGAAGCTTGAATGGAGGTATCGTCTGGCTGGAAGACGTTAAAGCAAACGCTTCTTGGGAGGAAACTCATGCGTTTAAATAGAGAAGACCTAGGAATCTCCGACTCCAAAACCAGATTTGCGTTCCTTAACCCTACTCTTTATTGCTTTTACTTTGCCATAACTGTCATGTTTGCTAGTTGTGTTGTTTGATTGTTTGCATGTGAGTCTACTTTTGAAACATTGAGGACAATGTTTGATTTAAGTGGGGGCGGAGGGGGGGTGTGTGGTAAATAGATGCTTTCCATGACTTATTTTCAAATTTTATCACCTATCACTTCTAAAAGTTGTTACTCACTATTTTTAAGTGTTTTTATTGTGTTTTGAAGTGTTTTAATAGGACTATCCATACCCTTGATCTTAAAGAATAGTGGAGCATGACTTAGAGGGAATTCCTTTTGATCAACATTATGCAGAAAAACAAGTGTGGGGGAAGGTTTTTCATTGGAAATCTATGAGGTTGTTCATTTTGTGTGCCAAAGAGAAAGGGCACGAAAGAATAAAGAAAAATACAAGGCAAAAAAAACATGAAAAGAAAAAAAAAAGAAAGAAAAGAAGAAGAAAAAGTTGAGAAAAAAAAAGAAAAAGAGTTGAGAAATAAGTGAGATTGAACTTAGAAGTATTGGTGTTGAAGAAAGGGTCCAAAAGTTTGAATCCAACCCTAAGTGTTGTGTGAATCTTCCATGGGTGTTTAAAGTTGATTTCTGCATTCAAAAGTGAATTTTAAGTGTTTATTTCATTACTTTGCTTACTATCGCTTTAAGAAGTTTTGTTTATCCTTACCTTTCCTTGTTAGCCAATGCCTTAGCCCCGTTACAACCCTTAGACTTCTATCTTGATTGTTATGTGTTTCAATATGTGGAGTTTAAAATTGGTACAAGCATATGGTATCCCTGGTTCTCGCATCTAAGTAGTGGCATTCTGTTCATGAGATCATGTACATGTTGTATTAATAATTCCAAAAAGTGCTTTCTTTGTTATAACATATGTGAGTGCTAGTCTACATGTTTATATCAATCTTCTCACATATACATAGTGTAGGGAGTGTAGTCAGAAAATCTGTGTGAAAATAGAGAGTATATCTGGTGAGGAATTAAGTGAATTCTCTAAGGCATATTACTACATTCAAAATGTTGTTTTAGTTGATTAAATGCGAGCTAATGAGTGGTGATTGCGGTTGAGTATAAGCTTGAGGGTAGGGATGGCTACAATCTATGTGAGTAGTGATTTTTAACATGTCATGTTTCATTGGAAATCCCTGAGGCAATTGTTGGAAGGTTTAGGTTGTGTTTCGTTTTCTTTGTTTTGCTCGGGGACTAGCAAAAGCTAAGTGTGGGGGAATTTGATAGGAGCATATTTATGCGACTTTGTTAGCATATTTCCTTGCATTTACTCAGTTAGTTTCTACTTATTAGAGTGTTTTAAACCCTTTTCGTGTGTTTGTAGGTCCAAATGGCAAAGTTGGTGAGAAAAGGCCATTTGGAGCATTTTCGAGCAGTTTTGGGCTTGGAATGGATATCACATGCATGGAGCAAGGTGGATGGACATTTTCGAACATCAAAAGAGGCTAAAAATGTGCTACAAATCTGGAGGACATAATTCAAGACATTGAAGATAAGGAATCAGCTAAAAGGAAGGAACATTATCCTAACCTTATCCAACCTTATATTATCTTATCCTATCCTAATCTTTTCCTACCTTAATTCCAGTTGCAAAGGGGAATCAATTTCACATTAAATCACCTAAATATTTGGTTCTTAAGGCCCTATCCTCTGCCCTAGATTAGTGCCGCATACCCTATCCCTTGTCTTTCTAAAAACTTGTCACAATACCCCTTTCTAGAAGCCCTAAATGGGTGCCGCACCACTCTAACCTTTTCCCCTTACAACTCTGCCGTGCCCTATCCTTGTCCTCCAAGGATTGGTGCCATGAACCCTAGCCCTATATATACACATTTATGCCGCAAAAATCAGAAAGAGCTTAGAGAGAAAAATAAAAAAAATAACTTTGTGCCACAGCTTTGCAAGGAAGGAAGAAGAAGAAGAGCTTTGTGTCGTGACCTGCTATCCAAGACCATTGGAGTGCTGGAGCGTTTCTGAGTTCTTTCTATCCTTAGATTTAGTTCAATGTTTAAATTAGATTGGTTTTGTTTAATTGCAAATATGTGGAACTAATTTCTTTTTAGTTAGAGGTGAATTCAAAGCCATGAACATATATGTGATAGGAATTGATTTCCTCTAGTTATTGTTTCATAAAACATGAATGCGATAATTATCTATTTGATTGATAACTTATTCTTGTATGTTGATTAATAATGCATACTTAGTTTGCATGCATGAATCTGATGCTAAAATATAAGGGAATTTCACTTAATAGTTATGAACTTATATTTATAAGCAATGGAAATCACTAGTCATGATTGTGTTAAGTAAATCCATGGCAGGAGTATCATGCAGTTCATAGTTACGAATGCCTTGTCAATGCTTATGATTTTCATAAAACTTAATGATCTTTCATATGTATCTCTATTATGTGGTTCATATAGGGAACTTGATAAGAATAATTTGATTGCGTCGCTGAGTCCAATTCAAAGAAATTAGGAAAATCTGAGAGTTAATTAGTGCTGTTCACAATTAATTTGAGGCATTGTCATTCATGGTTTATAGGAATAATAACTGGAAATCGATTTGTATGCATATATGTCTGATGTGATATATAATAGCACTCAAATTAAACCCTCTTGTTGACAAATTGTAATATATATGTAAGTAGGGATCGTTCTAGGCCAGGGATTAGGAGGGATTGCTAATCTACTCTAAATTACTTAAAAACACAAAACTAAACTTAAAAACAGAAAACTAGATTCTAAGACTCTTAACTAGACTTCTATGACTCAAAACAAACTGAAAAGACTCAAAACAACATAAAACAATAAAAAAAGACTCAAAACAGACACTAGGATTTACTTTGGACGAAAATTGAATTGATTTTGACTCAAAACACTCAAAAACACAAATTTGGACAAATTCTAACTAATTTGACAGAACAAAGTAAAGGGGATTGGGTTTTTGACGAATTTAAAACTTAAACAAACAAATTGCAGAAACTAAGTAAAGGGATATGAAATTGGGTGAATGGATGGGTGACAAGCTAGCTAGAGGGTCTTTCTCCACACATGACACAATTGCATACAAATTGATTTCCAGTTGTTTTTCCAATAAACCATGAACCTCAACGCCCCAGATTAACCGTGAACAGCACTAATTAACCCTCAAATTTTCCTTAAGTCATTGAATTGGATGGAATACGCATCGACAACCAAATTATTCTTCAATAGTTCCCTTCATGAACAACATAATAGAGATAAAATCAAATATCATTAAGCTTTGTGAAAATCATAAGCATTGACAAGGCATTTGTAACTATGAACAGTACGATACTCCTGCCAGGAATTTACTTAACACGATTATGACTAGCAATCTCCACTACTTATGAATATAAGTTCATAATGATTATGTGAAACTCCCTTATATTCTAGCATCAAATTCATGCATGAAAACTAAGTGTGCACCCTCAATCAACATACAAGAATAAGTTCTGAATCAAACAGTTAAGCAAATTGCATTCACGATTTATGAAATCACAACTAAACGTAATCAATTCATATTGCAAATACAATCATGGTTTCGACGTCTCTTCTAGCCAAAACGAGTTTAGCTCCTCATGTTCGCAATTAAACAAAGAAAACTTAAATTAAACATTTAAAACAAAAGATTGAATACGCCTAGAAACGCTCCGACAATCCAATCTTGAATG